TCATAAAATATTCTCCCAAAGAAATAAAAAATAACTAAAGCAACTAACTAAATAATGATAAAAGCCTGGATAGTGGATACTCTGATAAAGCCAGATTTGACGACTCGTGTACATGGCAAACAATTGTGATTGGCATACAGCATCATTGAATAAAGAATATTCAATGAATATTTATTATTTTATTATATATTTAAAAATATTTATTCTTTATTCAATGTACAGCATAGAAAAGGATAATAAAAAAAAATATTACTTTCTCTCTGGCATACAGGGTCCGGCGATAGTGCGTTGTAGCAGAAAAGAAATTTTATATAGACGCAGGACGGTGTATGCCGGACCCTGTATGCCAATAACAAAAAATGTTTGTCATAATATACATACACGAGTCGCGCGCCATAAAATTAAAAATAACCGAGAATGTAAACAATCGTTCAATGCAACTGAAAATATAATGCATAACATACCTAATTACGTAATATTATTATTTTCTAGTTGTGTATAAACAAACTAAAGGTGCCCTTAAGAAACTGCGTTTTAATTATTTTTTAATAATATAATAAACAGAGTGTGTGATTTGGATGTCTGCCAATAAGTACCATAAAGTTTAAAGTAATAGAACTAGCAATTATTGTTTGCGTCTAGCCCCAGAAAAGCAACTATTAAGCTTTGGTTTATTTGGTTAGCGTGGTTATTTGATTTCAAAAACTCTAACGTGATTGGTCAAGCTTAATAGTTGCCTTGCTGGGGCTAGACACAAGTGCAATTATTTAACGAAAACACTGTCTAAAATATATTTAGTTTATCGTAACATAGACAGTGTGTTTTTTTCGTTAAATAACAAGCATTTCTAAAAAAATATCTATGTGGCATGTGGCGGATTCATCTCTCCAAAAAAAATTTCTTGCAGTCAGTGGTGAAATACCCATACAGGAAACAAGAATTTCTGTTAAAATAATTCTGCCCCCCCCGTAATAATTTGAAGGGTCCAGGGGAAAACATGATTAGAAATATTATAATATAGAAAATTAGTAAAACGGCGCTTATTTTACTAATTTTACAGGAGAGCACTGGACGGCTGGTGGTTAACAGGTTCTTTCATTGTATTATATATTTTTACTAGACATATATCGTATGATTTAACAACTGCAGTTATTGCCCTGCAGAGTTTATACATTTTGTAGGGACCAGTGAGCAGTTAGGCCTACCAGGGGCGGATACAGGAATTTATTTTAGGGGGGGGCAAAATAAAAAGCTATGTAGAATATGTTCTTTAGGGCGCCATTTTTAACCCAAAAGCCTAATATTTTACACAATTTGCATATTTTAGGGGAGGCCCGGACCCCATGGGCCTCCATCTGTATCCGCCATTGAGACCTACTATCACAGAGAAGAATGAGAACATATATTTCTGTGCTACTATAATATTGTAAAATTCTAAAATTAATAAATTGGCGCTTATCAGGTTTTTCCCCTGGACCCTTCATTTACTATCTCTACGGTATGTCTCCGGATTGTCTTTACAAGAGGAAACGAAGGGAAATTTGGAAAAGTATAAAGTGGCGATTAACCATTTCAAAACAAGTAAAAACTTCTATGAAGAATGAAAAATAAAAAAGTTTTTTCTCTTGTAAAAACGATCCGAGGACATACTGTATATTAATGGTAAACGTGGTAAACATGGGTAAACCTCCTCTATGTATTCGATTTCTAAAGCATGCACGTGAACAGTGGGTGATCTCGATTTTGTTTATTTATGTAAACAAATTAATGTTTGTGAAGCTGCTATAATCCGGATTGGTCGGTCTGCCTGCAGTGTTGCGACATATTGTCCAATAAATTTCTTTTTTATCATAATGTCTGTTCAGAAATAACGCATTTTTTAAAGATAATTTTTGAAGTAACGTAGTGAATTAAGTGTTAATGTAATTAAGATTCATTAGACAGAGATTAAGGTTAATGGAATTCATTAGAAGCAAAAAATAAGGAGCAAAATCTTTATTCAAATAACTGTTTCTTTATTTTGCGTTATTGTTTATTATCAGTTAAGACAAATAAGAGATTTTTTAAGTCGTATTATTCGTAAGTTGTAAAAATTTATTTGTATTGCATTTTTGTTTATATAGATGATGAAAAGTATATAAGGAAAATACGACTATATTTATTAAAAAATAATAGAACCGGCAACATGGCAAATAGTTTAGGTCATCTATAGTGCGTTTGTCATGTTGAAATCAGCAAATTGTATTTTTAAATCAATATAGTAATAATAATGATGCTCATATAATATTCTATATAGTTCAAAATAGGAAACTAATGCATTCAAAAAAATATGTTTTATTTACATTTAGGTATTTTACTTCTGCGATACAATTAAAAATAATGTTACAATCATATTAAAATATGTACGTATATGTATATGTTACGATTAGAGTCCGATGTCCGGTTAATGTCGACATTGATAGGTTAATGTTTAGGTTTCGTTTTGTTTTTAGTTATTCTCGAGATTAACCGGGTAATATCGTTATTAACCGAATATCGGACCTTAACTGTAAAGGTGCATTCTCACGACTCGTGAACTTGACAAACATTTGTAATTGGTATACACGGTACCTCGGGCATTTATACAGAATTTCTGAGTTATTTATTATAGTAACTGCGCCGCATTTCCGCCAGACCCTGTATGACAACAAAAAATACTTGCCAAGTACACGAGTCGTGAGAACGCGCCATAACAGCGCTTTCAGATGGAGCGGAGCGTCCGCGCGGACCCTCCGCGAGTTTCATGAGTTTAAATGAACAATTTCACAACAGCGCGGACGCTCCGCTCCATCTGAAAGCGCTGTTACATACATATTTTTTTACATCTAAGACCGTGCACACATGGGTCGTCTCAAAATCGAAGCTGAAGCTCGCGTAGTTTCAAACTCTACTTCCTACGTAAATAATAGTCCACGAAGTGGTCGCTTGGCGGTCGACCCGAAGTCGGTCTGATTGATACAATTATTTACATACGAAGGTAGAGTGGAGGTAGATTCGCTTGGAGTTCGAGACGCTTCCACTTCGAAATCCAGACGACCCATGTGCGGACGCTCTTATACTAAGAAAGCTTAACAAAAAGCAGATTATTAAAAGTATGTTATTCACACTAGAAATTGTAGCAGTTTTTGCATTTTTTTGTACAGTATCTACAAATAAAATTGAAATACCACAAAAATAGATAAGGAAGATAGAAAAATGTATTTTTGGAGATCTATCGCAAATTAACTAGTTAAATAATTTAGATTATTATTATTTTCACAAAATCTATCAAAAAATTAAATCCAGTTTTATATTACTCGCATAAATCGTCGTTTTTATTACAGAAACCACAATATGATGAATCATTAATACTCAACTCAGCATCTAGGTATTTTTAGTATGAAAACAGAGATTTTCATATAAATTTTGGCGTATTTTCAGGAAAAATCCGGTCCAGATGAATCTCGTGAGCGTTTTTAAAAATACCCCGCCGATCTTTTGGACTTGTTTTTCGGCTGTTTTGATTCTTACGTCGGAGAAAGCCAAGCCGGCCGGCGCCTACTAGCAGCGAATATTTTTAGATTTTGCTTTTTACTCCAACTTTTGAACTCGACAAACAACAAATATAGTTGATCTCATTATTGAATAACAATAATTACAGCACAAACGTACGGCAGTGTTACTTAAAAACTTTTTATTCTGTCGCATGAATTTTATTGAAAATAGTAAAAGATATCGTTTTTGCTACTGGTTTACATAAGTTAAAAAATTAAAAGTCTCTACTAGAATTTCTTGTGTTGTCTTGATCGTTCAGAAAATTAAGTAAAATAAAATACTCTAGAGCCGGTTTATAGATATCTTCCTCCGCAGGCAACCGAACGGAATAGATTTTTTTTCACTGAGCAACTCATGTGAACATTGCCGAAAGTCAGACATTGTTTGTAATTGATTAGCTGAAAAAAAAATAGAGCTGAAAATAAAAATAAAACCACAAACGAATTGTTGTGAGTCTACATGCTACGACTTGTCTTCACAGGGTGGCTCGAATTCGACGCTCATCATTGGGATTTCGGAAACCGAGGATCGGTTAAATGGAGGCAAAGTTGCGCAATTTGATGCTCAATAAAATGCCGTATTGCATTTTGAAAAATTCCGAATACTTCCGAATATATTCGAAAAAAAAACGGAATTTTCAATTTTGTTTTCTATTGTTTCCTGGCTTTATCTGTTAACGTTAACATAACTTAAAATGAAAAATACATTTTCGTGGCCACTTTTTCTGCTCTATAACTCTGTGTGATTAAATATTGACTCTGACGTTTCGGCTTCTGGCGACCATCATCAACTTAATTTTTTTAAATACGGACCTGATTTTTTTTTCAATTTAATTAAATCCTTTTATCACTCTTAAAACACTAGTCAGTTTGATATTTGCCGACCTTTAGTACAGAAAATTCCATCACCAGAATATTTTATGGAAAAAAAATAAAAAATAAAAATGCAATACGGTATTTTATTGAGCATCAAATTGCGCAACTTTGCCTCCATTTAACCGATCCTGTTTATCTGTTACGGTTTCCAAAATCCCAATGATGAGCGTCGAATTCAAGCCACTCTGTACAAACCGCTTAAATCTATGCCCAGGAGCTCAAACTTTTCATTCAGTCTTCCGAATTCCGAGTTTGTGCTGCTCTAAAATAATGTATTCAAACTTGCTGTCTACACGTTAAAATTTTTGTCGACGAAAGGAAATCGTACGTTAAGTCGTTGCGTGTAGACTGCGCTTAATACACTCATAGTAAACATATTATAACTATTGTTTGTTAAATTAGTTACTTTTTAAGAAAAACTACGGGGTAAAAAAAATATCGGAATTTCTAGACTACCACAACTTAACGGCCTTTTAGGCGTTCCAATGACAACTCTAGATGAGACAGACTATAGCTTCGCTAAAGCTACACCACTGGCTACACTTCCAATCGATTCTTGGACCTTTCTCCCAGACAGAGGCTGTTTCCTAAAATACATTCGTGTTCATGAAATTTATTTTCATTCGCGTTTTACAGTTCCTACTGACTAGACGGGTTCGCTAGCGCATCAAAACGTTTCTAATTACAAATTTAATCTTTAGTTATTACCGTACAAACGGATCATTTACTTCCTTGCTGTTCAAATTTGGTGGTAAGTCTTGCATCTAGTTTTTTCAATTTTTTTTGTTTGTATAAAAAATAATTTTTGAGTAGAGGTCACGCCTTGGCATACGGAAACACTGACCATGCCTTTGTAAATCTGTATTAATTGATTTATTAACCTTCAAAAAATTTAATTTCAAATAAATTAAATAGAAGTACCTATAGAATTTAAATTAAAAATGTTTCTACTATACTTCCATAACTGGAAATGATAAAAAATATTTTATCTACAGTATGTCCCCGGTTTGTCTTTACCATGTCTTTACAAGAGGAAAAACTTTTTAATATAAAATTCTTGAATGAAAAATGATGACGGTAGAAGAAGACGGTATGAAAATTGGGAAAAGTATAAACAGTATTAACCATTTTAGAAGCAAAAACTTTTATGAAGAATACATTTTTCTCAAAAAGTTAATAATAAAAAAGCGTTTCCTCTTGTAAAGACAATATCCGGGGACATACTGTATAGTGTGTGCGTGTTCTACTTTTTATTAAACGAATTTTATCAGTCGATGGAAAAATTTATTTTGAGAAGAAATTATCAGGGTGAAAAGTCAAAAGTAATTTAAGTTTTACCTAAGTTTTTATTAATTTGTTTTAAAAATACAGGACAGGGAATTGAAATTTTCAAAAAATATCTATTATTTTGAGAGTATTCGCGTCTTGAGATATTTAAACCAAATTTAGCACGCCTATGGGCAGTCAGGGACGGATTACAGGGTTTCGATACCGTAAAATTTAAAAAATATCTTTCTTTGAATGTGATTAAAAAATAATAGGGTCCTGTATAAATTTAAATTTTACACTTGCAATAACAGATGCAGAATTTTATAACGATTTAAACCATATTTAACAACAAGAACACATTTAAACTATATGTAATAAATAGTAAACCAAGACATGAGATTTTCTTACAGAAGGTCGAAATGTCGACCAGTCGACCGTCTTCTCTTATGCACAGACGGGACCGATTCTGAACATTTCTGGGGAAATTCATTAATTCAATGGGGGTGAAAGATACCCTCGCATAACCGCTAAGTACTTCTAATCCTTGTCTAGAGTATAATGGGCAATTTAAAAATAAGAACCTTTAGTCTTCTCTGGTCTTCCTCAAAGGTAATAAGTGTTTCCATTTAAAAGTGTCTATTTTGGCCTACCCTGTACATTTATATAGAGTATCTGGTATTTTAAAAAACTCATTTTAAACAAAATATGCATGCAATTGATTTCAAGGTAAAATATTCTGAAAAAATGCTAAATAAAAGTAATAACAATATCCATATTAAAATTTTTGAACAACGCAATACATTTTTTGCATTTTCCACTAATAGCATTAATATTAATATATAATATACGTAGATGTGGTTAGAAAATACCAACTTGTTTCTAAGTACAACGCAAAGATTTTTTTTCTACAAATTATAAACTTTTCTCTATAGTTTACTGAAGATATTTTTGATTTTTTTCCAAAGATTCATTAAAAATGTTCGGTCACCATCAAGATGTTCAAGAAGAAGCAAAATTGGAGGTGATGCAAAGAGTGTGGCAAGGCAAACGCAATTCTTCCTCTTCCACAGCTTTCTTTGAAGGCGTCAATGAAACTGAAGATATTTTGGCAGTACCCAGGCAGGTAAGATCACAAAAAATGTAATATAAAAACATTTAATTGTCTCTATCACAGTTAATGAGTTGAAAACATTAATTATAATTTATAAAAACTGCGCAATTATTTAATGGAAAAATTTTGGACAAGTCTAGACCTGATGTTACATTTATATCTTTTAGTAATATTATTTCTTTTTTTTTCATAAAATTATAGTATAGTTAAAATATTTTGAGCGTCAATTAAAATTGATATCGGCGCCACAATTTCGAGTTTAATTACAGGAAACATCTTCGTTAATGAAGTGGAACATAAATAATAACTATCTTATCTTTTTAATATGCCAATAATAAGTAAATTTTGAATTAGCTTAGGATTGTGTCGAAAAATAATTAAAATTAATTATTTATATCATTTTCAGCTTAATCAACCATTTCCAATTATGGTGTGGGCCCTTTCACATATTTATATAATCTCTTTGCAACTGTGCCCATTGTTGTCTATTGTTGACTATGGAGGCCCAATAAGTTATCACTGCTTTTCCTAATATCATGGTTCCTTAGGATGGCTCTTTTTCTAGGCCTCTTAATTCGTCGTGGGTACCATGCAATGCCATGTAAATTAATTTCATTAGTACCATGATGTAATTTTGTGGTCTAATCTGCTGTCCGTCTTTCTTGCCAAGTGTCCTACCTAGTGCCACTTGAGGGATTTCATTCTGCGAATGATATCTATTACCTGGTGGCGGTCCTCGGCCATATCATGGTCAATGGCCTACCGACTTGGCAAGTGTCTAAATCGACTCTTACTCATGAGATATCCGATCTCATCCGGCCTCGAACCCGCGTGAATGAGCAGTGTGTATCAATAGATTTTACACTTTTGCCTTTTTTTGGACAACAGCACGATACAGAGTTTCGAACCGGTCACCCGTCCATCCACTAGTATCGCCTTACGTCGCTTAACTTCGGTGTTCTAATGAGAACCGGTGTTTCGACGTAGCTAGGCCGTTGCCCCTTTTTAGATTTTAGATTAGACTTGGATTGATTCTTCCATAAATATTATGTATTCCATTATGATTTAGTTCTTCTGTTGATTTCTGGTAGCAGGGATTCTTAGATGTGTATTATAGTTGTCCCGATTATTCATATGTATATTTGACCGAATATTGATATCACTTGTGTGGGTATATTTATTGAATATGTACTAGGATATGGTCTGTTAGAAAACTGTTTACTTTTTGCACATATAAATAGAAAATTACATTACATTTTTTATTTGAAAAAAGAATATTTTGTTATACTTCTATGGTACTGACATATGAAACATACTATAACATATATCTATAAACAAAAATAATTCTTAAGCCCGGTTCACACGCAACGACATATCATACGATTTGCTTACGTCGACAAAACGTTGCAGATAAAACGTACCTAGTGTGTGGACAGCAAGTCTGAACAAATTTTAGAACTGCACAAACCCGGAAGACTGAGTTAAAAGTTTGAGCTTCTGTGCAGAGATTTTCTCTATTATCTTTGGCATATATTTCGGCGGTTGTACAGACAATTCGTAGCGTGTGGACGCTTCCAACGATTTGTTCGTGGTTTTATTTTAATTTTAGTCAGACAGTCAAAAATCCAAATAATATCTGACCTACGGCAATGTAGGCATGAGTTCCTCAGTGAGTTCAATGAACTGTACAAGAGTTTCCCTTGCTTGTGGTGAGTAAAATCAAAAGAAAACAGTGACAGGGAAAAGTAAAATCAAATCAGGTCAATGCGGTCACTGCCTACGAGATTATTATTGAAAAGTTCAAGCACCTGGACCCTGAAGCGACTAGGGATACAGTAACGAAAAAAAATCTATATAGAACTGTTTACAGAAAAGAATAACTATCGAAACTAAAAAAAAGGATTTACATAATTTTTGGAATAATAAAGACACCTCAAGCAATTCTAACTTGCCCTTTTTTTAACTTTAAACAAATAGCAAAAATTAATCACAACTCACAACAGTGTTTGCTCCATGATGACATGACAAAATACAAAAGACTGAACGACAAGTCGTTGTAATGCGGACGCAACTTTGTAGCAAGCAAGTCGTTGAATGTGAACCGCGATTTAGGCAACTCAAAGTACATCTTAACATTAAAAAAAATCATAATTTTAGAATTCTTGGGTGACCATTTGCGTTCCGCCACCTCAAAAATCGACTTGCAGCGATGTTGAAAGCGATAATGAATTATTCGAAACCCCCGTAAGTAATTTAACTAAACCATCCAGATATTTTTGTTAAAACCCGGATTTTCGATTTTTAGGAGCTATTGGCCGTTTCTAAAGAGCCTGGACGATATGAACCGGCTTTCCAAAAACTTGACGCCGCTTCTTTGGGAGATTTACCCGCTCATTACGTTATTTGTCCGGTACAACCGCATCAGATGCCTGTGTGTGGTGTCTATGTCGATAGAAGAATTGTAGCGGGATTCAAATACAAAGTACGACCGTTGCCTCCTGTTGGACAAAGGTCTACAACAAACAAGTGCATGTTTGGAGAAAGAGCACTGACATTACAAAGCATTGGAAGAGGTAAGACCCTTCTATCGTGATGATAGAAAAAAAAAATGGCACAGACGTCACAGACGGCTGAAGAACGACAATCGATAATAATTTTGGTCAGGTCAGTCAGAAAATTGCCATAAAACTTGTCAAAAATTAATACAAATTATAAAAAGATTAAAAAAAGAATAGAATAGTGTTCAGACACACAAATCTATTTCTAAAAATATTATTTTTTCTTGAGTTTTAAACTACACCATTTAAAAATCATTTTTACTCAATATAAAAGTAAGTTACAATCTTCTTTGAGCAAACTGGCAGTAAGCTCCATTCAAAAATAAAGAATATTACGGGCTAAGTAAATGACGTCTATGTCTGACCTCGCCAAAATTATCATCAATTGTCATTCCCCAGCCGTCTTTAACGCCGTTTTTTTTTCGATCGTATGGTATATATGTTTATTCATGTGTGTTTTAAGGTTTTGCTAGAAGATTTACCTTTGAAGCTGACAAGGGCCAAATAAATTCAAACGATAATTACTTCTACAGTGACAATAGACCCGAGGGTTATGCTTTTGAATTAGAAGTTATATCTGAAGGAGATAAATTCACGATCTTCGATATTGGACGCGAAGCACAAGGAACTGTGGAAGTTCTGAAAGTTGAGGTAAATTCTTTCTATTCTTTCTTCTAACACCTTTATTTTTTTGTGTTGATTTCGCAAGTCAACTTCAGCGTCCCTATACAAACCCTTTTCTAACAAATGAATATTAAAGAAACTTTTTCATTCATTTCACAAAAAAATCATTAGTGAAAAATAAAATTTGTTTTTTTTGTTCTATTATTTTTAAGAGTATATAGTGATCTAAAATTAAGAGTTTATGAACAAAAAAACTGCAAAAACAAATTTTATTTTTAGGTATTGTGTTGTTGGTTTAACAGAATTTGTCTTGGAGAAGTGTGTTTAATATTTTTTTAATCCTTTTAAAGCCTACACATAAAGTTTTAACTTACGTATTGCCTGTCAGTTCAAACCAAATATATAGAGATAGGGAGGATGAGCTAACAAAATATCTATCGTATGATCGAAAAAAAAACGGCGTCAAAAACGGCTGGTAAATGATAGTTGATGATAATTTTAGTCAGGTTATAGTAGGTCAATCTATAGACGTCATTTGCTAAAAATTGACATAAAACTTGTCAAAAATTAGCACTAATTATGGAGGGATAAAAACAGGACAGAACGTTTCCAGAGACACAACGCTATTTCCAAAAAAACATATTTTTTCTAATTTTGAACTGACTATATACATTTAAAATCATTTTTACTCGATATAAAAATAAATTACAACCGCCTTAAGTAACTGGAAGTAAGCACCACTAAAAAATAAAAAAGAGTACAGGCCAAGTAAATGACTTCTAGCGCTTGACCTCGCCAAAATGATCGATTGTAATTCCCTAGCCGTCTTTGACGCCTTTTTTTCGATCGTATGGTATTTTATGGATAAGTTATTTTTACATAAATTAAAACTTGGAATCGCTTGGTAATTCTCCAAGACAAAATTTCTGTTTTAATACAATTATTGTAACCAAAATACCAATAAAAAAAAACTAAAAAAATTGGGGATGCTGACCACTCTCCCTCTCGCTGTATATTTTGCGGCAAAATATCGAACAATCCAGTTGTTTTATCAGAATCGTCACAAACTCAACTCCACACAGAGCAGATAGCGGCTCCATCCGGCTTCTTAGAGAATTTGAGTAGTATTCGGAGATTTTCATTGTCTTTGGGGCACACGTAATAATGCAGAGTGCCTCCCTGTCGTAAGTCTTTCAAGCCAAACACATTTATTCCATAACCAATTACATTTCGCTTATGATGCTCATTCTTTCAGGGGCCCCAATTCGAAATTTCTAGCTCTTTGACTAAACAGGGTCTGGAGAAACGGGCCAACGTTAAATTTATAGGCAAGGTGGAGTTCTACGACACCGGGGTGGCCAAGCCTATGATCCTTAACGGGGTTGTGGTGGCCCTAAAACCTAAGGGCAAGGGTAGGGCTGAAGTGACGAAAGTTATCAATGTGACCATTAAGAATCAGAGATGGTATTTGACGCCTGGTATACAGAATAATTACAGGAGGATTACGGTGAAGGGACAGGATATTAATGATGTGCCCACTAAGTACACAATGACTGGTATGGAACCCTATGAGATACCTGTTGTAGGTGAGTGTTCGTTAAAATCAGAGATGGGTGTGTAAAAAACCTTACTATAAAAAACTATTTTTTACGTGTAAAAAACTACGTCCACAGTTTAGTAAAACTTCTCTAAAAATATTGTTAACTGTAAGGACCTTCGTACAAAGTGTATTTAATTAGTTTCATTTTGTTTGGTAATTTTACTAATATACAGGGTGTTTCAGAAAATATGTACCATCTCTCCTGGGGAGATTCCTGGCGTAAAAATAAGATTTATTTTTTATTCAACATAGGTTCGATTCTGCTTTGTTTCGTAGCTAGAGGGGGTTAATTTTTTTTTCCAGTTTATTATAAAACCGTCTTTTTATATAATATGTATAAGCGTCTCGAACTCTACTTCCTACCTAAATAATAGTAGGTCCACGAACGGGTCGTTTGGTGGTCGACGCGGAGTCTATGTGATTGATGTATAAGAGTCTCGAACTCTACTTCCTACCTAAATAATAGTAGGTCCACGAACGGGTCGTTTGGTGGTCGACGCGGAGTCTATGTGATTGATGTACTATTATTTACATACAAAGGCAGAATGGAGGGAGATTCGCTTGGAGTTCGAGATGCTTCCGCCACAGCTTCCGCTTCGAAAGCCAGACGACTCTACGGGTTGGACGCTCTAAGTGTTGACTGGTGTTGACAGATTCACCAGGGAGGTGCATATGGGCCATCACTGGAATAATCTTCTAAAGAAATATGTGCGCCACTGACTTTTTTTCTTAGTTTTTCGTTAGCGAATTGTGTAGGTTGTTTAATGCCGATTAAAAGTATCGTAATATTTTGTCGATTTCGACCTAATTGATGAGATAAACGAAGTTTTATTAATTACAATTAATAAAATTAAAATAAAAAAATAAATTATTTATTTAATCTAACTTATTATCCAATTTTATTAAAATTTACAATACTGATGTTCAAAAATAATGGTACTAAGATAATTACAGAAGACCTACTTTTTTATTTAACATCCCGTATCTTTAAAACTATGCATTTCCACATCGATGTTTACCAATAGGAACTTTTTTTCATAGTTTTTGATGAGGAATCAGAGTACTTATTTAACACTGTGATCAGTTAATGTTATTAAAAAAATGTAAAGATTGCTATTAGACTTGGATTAAGGCAAATTAATAAAATTGCTTTTATCTCATCAAGGAGATCGAAATCGATAAAATTTCAAGCGACAACTTTTAATCGAAATTAAACGGCCTACATAATGTGTGCTAACGCTAACAAGATCAAAAAGTCAGTAATATAGAAATATAGGAACTTTTTCCATATTTTTTGATGAGTAATCACCTCTTGAAATTCGGCCGAGGCTTTTTGGAACACCCTGTATATTGCTGCATATCCAGAGATATAGACATATCTCTATATCTCTGTGTATATCCCCTTCATTAAAATCACGGATGGCCGAGCAAAAAACTTTGTAAAAAATCTATTTTAAGTTTTAAAAATAATGTAAATGAAAAATTTTCAATTAAAAATTTGTCAATAAATGATAATCAGCTAACAAATGGTAAAAAAGCAAAGTATAAAAAGTAATTAATGTTTTTTTTTTCCTTTTAGGAACGTATGTAGACCCCAGAATTGTACCCGGTTTCAGTTACAGGGTGCGTCCTAACAACAGGAACAAGCATTTGTTTAACGGCAGAGCATTAAGACTTGTAAGCATTGGAATGGGATATGCTAAGGTTAGTCTAATTAACGTGATAATAAAAAAATACTTACAATTTTCAATTGATATTTTAGAGGCTGACTTTTGAACCTGATTCTCAACTTAACGCCGACAACTATTTATGGTCAGATAACCATCCTGATGGTCTTGGCCTTGAACCCAGAGCCGTCCATAAAGGAATGAAATTTATGGTAAAAGCTGGCGAACAAGTTTTGGGAGAGGCGACAGTTTTCAGGGACGACAAGCCACAATTTGAAGAAAAAACCGAAAAAGTAAGACATGCATTATTTTTTTTGTTAAATTTTCTTCATAATAATAATAGACCACCCTGTACGTCATAAAGAATTAAGGCGGAGATTAACTTGAGCCGAGAGCTGCAATGGGATTTTTTTTGTTTTTGAAATATTAAGGTGCGTCCAGATTGCTCGTGATCCTGCTGGCGCTCTTGCTTCTTCTGGTTAGGTTGGTTCAAAAACATAAAATATCATATTTTATGTTTTTGAACCGTTAATTCGTGATAAAATATAAAAAATTGTGGAAGTTATATACGATTTGAAGTTGAACTTTAAACGAGTCGATTAAATGAAAATTTATCAGACCTTTTTTGAAGACCATTCAATTTCCTACAAGAATACGTATTAATTTTTACAAAACCCTGACTTGTTTCCCCGTGTTATTTAAATGGAAATAGAAAATCACGATGAGGTACTTAATATTCATATTAAAAGCTAAAACTTTACCAATTTTTTTTGCTGCACCCTAATGGTAATACCCTAAGTATACTGTAATCCTAAGGTAGTACCGTATGATCGAATAAAAACGGCGATGGCTATGAAATGAAGATCGCTGTCATTTTATATGGGAAATGTCATTGATTTTAATTTCATAGCCATCGCTGACGCCGTTTTTATTCGATCATACGGTATAATTAAGCACTGAGAAGCGATTTTTGGAAATTCATAAGTGGCTGAAATTTTAATTGGAACTTTGTAACCTCTGGCTTTAGAAGGAAAAAAATTATAGAAAAGTTATTTTAAACGTTTTTTAAGTTTCTGATAGAAACAAAAAATTTAACATGGATTTTTTCCAGGTCGAAGTGTCTCCCGGTCAATACGCCATCGTAAAACACATCCACATCGATGTAATTTGCCACATCCAGTTAATAAGACCTGGTGGAGGATCCAGCGAAGAAGACTGCTACCTTATGAGGGTGTCCGGCGTTGCCATCGTGAGAAAACAACCCAAAACCAACGTTGCCAGAGTGAGAGAAGTGTACAATATTGGTCTCGACTCCCAGCTCAACATTCTCTTTGCTCAGACACATACAGAGATCAAGTTTATTCCGAAATAAGTTTTTTTCTCTTTATTTGTACTTAACTTGAAGGCTTAGTGATATATGTTTATGTTATTATATTGATCATACTGTGTTTTGGTTAATTTACCTTGTTCTCAATGTATGCAATAATATTCATTAGTATTTTTTTTTACTTAATGTAATATTAGTTTTTATAGATAGAACTTTTCGAGGTCTTCTTGCTTTAGACACTTAGAAAACTTATTTTTTTATAAAATTATGCAGTTTTTCAGCATAAATAACTTGTCATTTTATTATTCCTTTTAAATCTGCCTGACCTGGCAATCAATGCTTGGCTTAGAAACACAAAAGTACCTTAACTGACGTTAATAGCTGCCCATACACCATTAGCGTAACTAGCAATTCATCCTAGAGAGGGCCTGGTGATGAGCCAGGGGGGCCTAGGTCTTTTGGTTTTTAAAAAATGAAGAATAAAGAACGTGTTTTTTAAAATAAAACGTTTACATGAATTATATCCATATATATGTTTCTTTTTCCTTTCTTGGGTATGAGGTTTTTTTTTATTAATTGAAAATGGAAACTTTTTTTTTATTATTATGCGACGTTTCGCCTCATCATGGTGGGCTTTCTCAGGCACTTTATTCTTGAAGCCGCAGCCGCCTTGCTACCACCAGTCTATATAGAACAATGAATGAAGAAAATATAGAAGAATCATTCTTCTATATAGACTGGTGGTAGCAAGGCGGCTGCGGCTTCAAGAATAAGGTGCCTGAGAAAGCCCACCATGATGAGGCGAAACGTCGCATAATAATAAAAAAAAAAGTTTCCATTTTCAATTAATAAAAAAAAAAACCTCATACCCAAGAAAGGAAAAAAAAAACATATATGGATATAATTCTAAAGGTTTAAGAAAAAGAAAAAAAAAAGTTTACATGAATTTCCCTATCAGTAAATTTCATAGACTTGGTTATCAAACCGTGTTCCAGTAGATTACTTAAATACCTACAAATTTTCTAAAAAAATAAAAATTAACACATTTTTTGAACTCAACAAAATAATAAACTAAACTCAACTAGAAAACGTAATTTTTAGTACATCACAAGCAAATAAAAATTAACACGTAGCCAAGAGTCATAATTCGAGATTTCTCTGGGGGTGCCAAGCAGGACCGAGGGGGGGCCCGGCAACCCTGTAGTTACGCCAATGCCATACACGGAAAGATTTGATCTCAAGGCCCGGCCTAAGGCTCAACTTTTCACCCAAAACGCCATAATAAAAAAAGGTAAAGGCAAAATCTTTGCCTTTCACACATAACTATGGTATGCGGAGTGAAAGACCTTGCCTCAAGGCCAAGTCTTTCCGTGTGTGGGCAGCTGTTAAGCTCTAAAACGGGAATTAGGGAATTCATCCTATAAGGGGGTGAAAATTTAATTGAACCTTTTTAATCTCCAGCTTTAGAAACAAAACAAATTGTACAGAGATCAAAGATGCTTTTAAGTGTTAAGTTTCTCCTAGAAGTATAAAATTTAACAATAGTTTTAAAACCTTTATTTTAAATAATTAGAAACAATTTACAACCTTGTGGTGCTTAGGAGTGCTTTTTTTTGCCCTTGTTATTCTTTTTCTTTGATTTCTTTATCTTACGGGGATGTAACCATATTGGATAGGCTCCATTTTTGTCACGTAATGTTCTCGCATTGTATTCCTTTTTAATCTCTTCAATATCCATTAAATTTTGATCAGTTTCCGTTGTAGACTCGATAATATCCTTGGCATTTTTAACGTTTGCTATAGTTTCGATATCAATGACGTTTGCCTAAAGAATATAATAGAAAAGTTAACCTGTTTTTTTTTAAGTAATTTACTTGTATCTTACTGTCTTTTTTGTAGTTGTACTCGTACTATTAGCCAAGGTTTTCTTTAATCTATCCAATTCCTTTGCACCATATCTTTCCCGTTTTACAGCACGGCATTTTCTTTTCCACTTGCTTCTGATACTTTTCGCCATGTTTATTAAAAGAAAAAGAAAATAACCTTACTTTTTAAAAAGAGCCACAGAAAAAAAAATTCTAAACAGAAGTGTTAGGGTTCAGCCACACTATTCTAAAAACGACGTATCGGCGTAACGACCTTGAATCGATTTCCAGTAATTCTATTGGCTGAAATTTTTGACAGATGAATGTTTCAGCCAATAGAATTACTGGAAATCTATTCAAGGTCATTACGCCGATACGCCGTTTTTAGGATAGTGTGGCTGCACCCTTAGATAGGCATGAGTTGCCTATCTAACACTTGTTTTTTAAGTAAAAACACCAAAAGAATTAAATTTTTACTTCTATTTAATTTAAATTATTTCAAGGCAGTCTTTAAAGTGTTAGAACATCAAATATTTAAAAGAAAACATAAAACATTTATTAATAAACAATATTCAGTTATTAGTTTCAAGTGATTTTAACAATTTCATTAACTTTAAAGTACATAAATCCAAAGGTGTTTGTCTATCCTTGTTTCTTATTGTTAGATCAGCCCCGTTTTTGGCCAATAATAAAGCAACATCCTGTTGATCATCTTCACAAGCCAGGTGAAGAGCGGTATTTCCATATATATCCTGGTGATTTATTTTTACCGCTTCCTTATTGGATAATAACAATTTTACTATTTCTATGTTTCCCTTTGACGCAGCTCGAATGAGTGGTGTGCTTCCATATTTGTCTGTTATATTTATATTTCCTCCATTCTCAATCAACTTTAGACATATCTGTAAAAGAAAATTAAAAAAATAAAAACTTATTTTTAATTGCTGAATTTTACCTTCAACCATCCTTTTGATGCAGCATATTGTAATGAATTGTGACCGTTTACATTCTTTTGATTAACATTAGCCTCTTTATCCACTAACAAAGATACTACTTCTACATGTCCTGCAGAACTTGCTAGAATTAGAGGACTTGTATCTGTATCATCTAGGGGATCAATTGGGGACTTCAGATTTACCAAATGAGTTACAAGTTTGAAATTACCTCCTAAACATGCCCAATGAATCAGTATTCGCTCGCTCTACGAAAGAATTTAATAATTTTTTTTTTGACATTGCACTATTGCGCTGAATGTCTTACTTACCGAATCTTTTGCAGTCAACAAAGAAGGATCTTCCTCTAGTTTTCGAGCTACTAAATCGAAATCACCCTTATATGCCGACTCACTAATGGATTTATCAGCCATTATAAAAGCAGAGTAAGTTACTAAAAGTGACAAATACAATTATAACACTCAATGACAGGCATTAAAAATTCATGTAGCTCAGAAAAATATTTTTTTTAACTGCAATTAATCAATCAAATCACTAGAAATGGAGCTTTCTTAGTTCTATATTCATTAAAATTTGGTTTCTTGTGTCTTGGATGATTTGTTTATTTTTTTGACTGTTATAATTTTGACATTTGTTTCTTGTTTTTTTTTCATGCTATGATTGCTATGATATTTCGTTTAGTAGAATTTAGTTTAACGGCCTGAGCGGCCAGGGCTATTCGGCCATGTAATAGGATATCCAATCCTATACTTTCTTATTAATCCAAAGCATTAATCATATCTTTTTGAAAATTAATTTAAAGGCTTAAGCTGCTAGAACCTGGCTAGAACTATCTGACAATCTGAGAATTATTTATTAGAAATAGTGTTATAGCCACAGAACTTGAAAAGAAGAGGTCTCGACAGATAATACAGGATTCTGTAAATTTAAGTTTCAATATGTCAAAAAAAATAAATGGGGCGCTGCTGTCGCTAAATTATGCAGTCGCCATATTTAATTTCGGCGTTTGGTTTTTGTGAAGTGGTGTGGTAATTTTAATTTTCCTTTCTTTACAGTTAAGGATTATATATTTCAGATAAGTAGAGGTGTTTCTTCAAATATTGTTTTATTTTTTAAAAATATTAAAACTCCTATTCGGTTTTCATTTTAAAAGCAATATTAATGAATCGATGCAATATTGATTCGTGACGAGTGTTTAATTGCTTTTGTAACGTAAAGTATAATGCATAATATATAGAGGTTTCTTAGAATTACCTAAGCAAAATGACACAGTTTTTACCACCAAATTTGTTAGCGCTATTCGCTCCAAGAGATCCTATACCTTACCTACCACCCGTAGCAAAGCTACCACATGAGAAGAAATCTCGAGGATATTTAGGTGTAGGCGCTTTCTTAGCGGACTTTGAGGTATAACTGTGATATAACTTATGTGATTTTTGCTTTAATTCAGCCTTTTATAGGATCCAAAAGATACTCCGCCACCAACTAGGGTAGAAACAAGGGAAGAACGATTGGAACGAAGAAGGAAGGAACGAGCTGAACAAGTTGCATATAAACTAGAGCAAGAGATTGCAGTATGGGACCCTGCTTCAGCAGCTAACATTACAGCAGATCCATTTAAAACTCTTTTTGTTGCTCGCATTGTAAGCCAAAAATTCATACTTTATTTTTTTAGCTACTTTATTCTTAATTTTATTTCAGAACTATGATACTTCAGAATCCAAACTCAGAAGAGAGTTTGAAGTTTACGGCCCTATTAAAAAGGTAATTACTGTATTTTTGATTAAAGATTTGTTTAATACTGAGTCTGTTTATATTTCAGATAGTCTTAATTCATAATAGCGTGAATGGTAAGCCAAGGGGGTATGCTTTTATTGAATACGAACATGAACGAGATATGCATTGTGAGTATTACTTTTAATTAAATTAATTTATACAATGTCCTATTTTGAGATAGAAAAAAGATAATTTTATAGAGAAGGTAAGTTAGTTAAAATTAAGTGAAAATTAACTATACATATATACCAAATGTAAGTTTTAGTGTAAGAGGTAATTTTCACTTAACAAAGGACATTGTATAAATAATTCGGTTCAGGTTTATTGCTCTCGGGGTTTTAAAGCAATAAATTGGACTTAGAAACACTTTTTATGTAGCCAGCAACATAAGAAATTTTTGCCTTATTCGTCAAAGTAAGATTAATCTTTTTTCTATTTTTTTTTTCATACAGTTCAAGCTTCAGGCAGCTAGTTCCATTTGCCCCAATCTCTTCTGCTATTTGCTGGCTATATAGGTTTGTATGCGTGGTAAGAACCCCATACAACGAAAAAAAAATACAATCTATATTGCTCCCATTTTCTTTTTTCTTGAATAATTCTAAGCAGAAACAGTGAATGTTATTGTTTATATGAAGGAGCCCATAACAATTTTTTTCTGAAAACTTAATTGTAATAGGGTAGTGTCATTGGTTAGTGATGAATTTTTATTTAATTTTATTTTACTTTTTGATAAGGAGGGAAAGAATTAGTGGGACTGACCCATGACATGATCCCCTCGCGGTAAAATTATCAAAATAATTATTTTTTATATTTTTTTACTATTACAAAATTTAATAATTATAATAAAATAATAATAAGGGTACGCGCTGAGTAAGTAAATGCGCACCAGGTAAAATGAGTAAAATTAAAAGGAAGACCTTGTCAGCACGTCGGGGATGATTTTAAATATGTACAAAACAAAAATCCATTTTAAATACGATTGTTGTTGATGTTGTTTCGTTTGCTACCGACGTAAGTAATTTTGGTAGGTATATTTTATTTATACCTATTTAAGTGCGATATATGTGATTGGGTAATAAATTACTGTTCTTTTTTTTCACTTTAATTATCAAGTAGTAATAAATTTTAATGTTATTTCAATGATTAATTTCACAGAAATAATCAAGAAATACTCCTATTAACTTTAAAGTCCCCATATACACAATGACATAACGTTCTATCATGCCTATTCAGCTAAATCATATTGATAATTGTTGGTACATGGAAAAATACTAATATTTATTGATTCAAGATATTTACTTTTTGTGTGTTTAAAAAATAAAATTTAAACCATAAATACAATTTGTAGCAAAATTTTATTTTTTTCCTTCTACCGTCACTAAACTCCATTCTATAGTTGATAAATTTAACTGACAGGTAAATGTTATATCAAGAGATTAAAATGCCTTTTTTATTTTAAAAGTATTTTTGCAGTAATATCTTCATAATTCTTAATACATTATTATAACCTTTATATTTTTGATTCATTTTTTCTCAATGTGATAAACTTAGATTCACACACACACTTTTAAATGAATTTGTAAATTTCAACTGCCTTTATTTCTTATTCAATTAATTAAATTTCAGACATATTTTAAATTAGACACTAATCTAAATCCTAAAATTATTAAGAACTTTTTTAAGTCCTACTAATAAAAAGTGTTTAAATTATTTTATTACCCAATCACTAGCTGTTTTTTTTCTGAGGGGATTATCACAATTTCATTTTTTGTCTGTTTTGCTCAAAAGAAGTTAACTGGGGTTAAATCAATCATAAAGAAATGATCTTTCGAAATTCATTTACATATTGTTTTATATTTTTGCAAAAATCCTAACAGTTTTTTTCTAAGTGAGAAATATGAATTTTTACGCGATTTTTATATTATAGCCTTCTCTGTATTTATTTTTTTATTTCTGTAAAACAATATGTAATAATGGTGGAAAATCGATTTGTATTCAAACAAAAATAAATTGTTTTTGCAGCTGCTTACAAACACGCCGACGGTAAGAAAATTGACGGTAAAAGAGTGTTGGTGGACGTGGAGCGTGCCAGGACTGTCAAAGGATGGTTGCCACGCAGGCTAGGTAAGTTCAAATTTTTTTGTCATTTTTGGTTGTCGGTCAAAAAATTTCATGACTTGTTGGAGAAACTTTATGATAGAAATTCCTTGAATGAAAAGATTAAGGAAGGAGCGTATCAAAAAAAAATTAGGCGGAACGCGATGGGGGCCTAGTATGGCTGACTTAAATTCTGGATTATCAGTGCCTATCTATTTTTTTGACATTGTGAATTTAGGTTTTGACATAATATCTTTCTAAATTTACTGCCTCTGAACAAAACCAATTATTGTAGAATAAATAATAAATAACCCAAAATAAGTCAAACGGAACCAGTGGTGGCTCATCAGGGTAGGCAAGGTACCACAATTTTGTCACAATTTAAGCGGTTTATTACATTACATTATTTACTATTAATGTTGCCAATACATAAAAATACTAGTAATACACGGAACTGTGTTGTACTAATTAATATTAATTTAATATTTTGTGGTCTTGTATACTAAAATATTCACTACCGCTGGCGTATGCTGACTGCGCCGCTGCGTTAGAATGCAAAATAATTTTGACCATTGTAGTATACTGCAAACGCCCCTGTTCAGCGATTTCTACAGGTTTGTTCCAACCAGCATTTCGGGGTCGTTTCGAAATCGTACTAGAATCGGTTTTCTTGCACTTTGTTAGCATGCGCGGACTTCGAATAGTTTCGTGACGGTGCAAAAAGGATCAACGTTGGAACGCTTTGTGGATTGTTTAATCTATAGACTGTTATGCGTAGTTTCCTGTTATTTCATTGCAGTGGTAGAATCTTTGAACATTATTTTATAAATAAGGCATCAGTAAAAAAAGCATCAGCCGGACGCCGGACCAGAATCAGCTGTTAAAAATCGATAATCCCTGCCAATATGCTTTAATGCGCAAGTCAACCCAAACAGTTCTCAATTTGGACCATGTACCGAAATTACCGTTCTGAAATCGTAACTAAACGATCCCAAGGTGGGTTGGTACGCAAATAGGATCGTCCGATAACCGTCAAATCTCCGTTTGAACACATTTGAATTACTGCGCACGAGCGTGATCGTTCGGTGACGGTTCTGCGGCGGGTTGGAACAAACTTTCCATCGCCTATTATCAGCGTCTGTGCATGACGTACGTCAGTCTTCTGTCTCTGTCTAACTCATCGTGCGGTAGCGACGCAACGTAAGTCTGAGTTGTATCGCATTTGCATGAAGGTAATGGGATATTTCGTCCCGATATTTCATATGATTCATTATACGTAGCATTTAAAACTTTTATATGGAAATTCAAAAACATTTAAAGCAAATTGGAAACATTTTTCGGGCTTGTTCGAGACTATTCAAAATTATATAACCGGTTGTATTTTCAGAACACGCCACAGAAATTATGGAATCCGAATTAAAAAGCGCTTTATTTCATTCCGTGCATGCAGACGATACAACAAATAGTACAGAAAAGTTTCAGTGTGCTATTTCCTATTTCAATTCGATACGTTATTAAAAGCAGTGAAGTCAAAAACCTTCTTTGCGAATTTTATTTTATTTTATGAAATATTAGATAACATTTTGGTTTGCAGATATGTCTCAATTATTTTTATTTATCTCTTGTCGATTCACAGAGATTTAAAAAATCCTATAAACAATTTCCAACGCATTTTGATTTAACAAACTTTTATCCTAATGTTTTTGACCAACATAAATTAATGGATAAATTGCAGGTATTAATAATAGATATGGTAATTTCGATTATAAAATAATTTAAGGAGAATAATCCTGGAAATATATGTCCAGAGGCTTAACAAATTTTTGGTTTCGATTATTACTATACCACTTACAAGTACTTGGGTTGAAAGACATTTTTCATGTTTGAAATGCATTCAATTTTACAGTAGAAATTCCATGAAAAATAAACGTTTATCGTCACTTGCCTTACTTTTAATCTAAAAAGATCTTTTCACAGCCTTCAACAATCTGATGATTTTACTGATATAATAATAAATAACTTTTCTGTATTAAGAGACCGACCGACTCATCAATTTAATATATAAAACATAACTATTCTTTCCTCTATGACGTCGATTCAGTCTCCCATGCATGAATACAGACTTAGAATTATACTCCTTCCTTAATCTTCTTATTCAAAGTAGAAATTATTAATTTAACGCCTCCTTCTAGGTGGAGGTTTAGGAGGTACGCGTAGAGGTGGCGCCGACGTTAACATCAAACACTCGGGTCGCGAGGACAACGAGCGCGAGAGAGAACGCTATAGATTAGAGCGAGAACGCGAAGAAAGAGGTCTGACTAGCAGGGACCGGGACCGCGGCGACAGGGAGAGGGAGAGGGAAAGGCCTGCGGGAGGAGGTTTCGAGAGGCGCAGATCGCGATCCAGGGAGAGGAGGAGGAGGAGCAGGTCGCGCTCGCCGAGGAGGGAGAAGAGAAGGAGGAGCAAGGACAAGATCAGGGAAGACGCGGACGAGTTCGAGGGCAGGTCGAGGGACAAGGATAGAGAGAGGTAAACAAACCGTTTAATTTCTTTTCAGGCAACCAACGATGTGCAAAGTTCTAAAATAAATGCAATTTGAAATTTTAGATTAGATTTTTGAGTTTGCTATCGGCCTGTTCTACTGCAACCTTTTCATATCTATTGTGGTCCTCTTCTGATCCTTAGGTTACATACTTCAGTTCTATCCTTTTTGTAACTAGTATTTTATTTAATTCCTTTAGATCCGAATCCGATAACATACGGCTGGCACTCGTCTATGAACGTCGCATATTATATATCGGTCACAGTCTCGATCCCGGAATAGGTCCTGAGGAACTAGTTCTTTGAGAAACCGGGTACTCGTTCCTTTCATTCCGGGGTCGGAATAGTTCATTGGAACTAGTATGGTCACGAACTACACACCTCTACATTCTTGTGACTGAACTTTTAATTGTTATTGTTCATTTTTTTATAGAAGCAATTTTCTGCGACATACAGTATAATTATTGTTTTTTAATATAGGGATCGCGACAGAGACCGCAAAAGGAGACGCTCCAAGTCTAGAGACAAGGACAGAGAGCAAAGGAAAAGAGAGAGGCGCGAACGACGAGAAAGAGAAAAGGGAGAGAGATTGGAATACATCAAGACCGACGACGGGGGTGAAATTAGAATTAAAGAAGAACCAATTGATGGTAAGTGAAAAATAAGTGTAAAAATAAACGTTTTGTTAATTTATGTTCTTATTTTCAGACTATCAATACACTAATTATCCTGTCCAGCCGTATGATCAGGACAATGTTAAGTACGAAGATGAAGATGAGCAAAAATATCAGCCTGAAAGGGAAAACAGTAATGGTAATAATAGACATTACGAGGATGAATACGAAGAAGGGGAAGCATATTAACTTAGATTTAATGTTATCTGCCCAAACTACTCTTGTACTTTTAAATGATTTTTTTTAATTAATTTTATTTAGCCTTGTACTAACTAGGTTTAAAGGTTAGTTAGTTTAGGATATGGAAGTGAAATTTGTGAGCTTTGTTTCATTTAAATAATGCAAGTGATCTAGAATTATATGAATCTTGTTTGAATTAAAAAGTTATGATACTGAATTGTATAGTATTCCTAGAATCTCTTGAATTGTTTAAACGAAACTGGTTTGTTTTGCAAACAATTATTATGGACATAATAAAATGATGTAATAAATTGGACATGTTTGTTTTTGTTATCACAGTACACTGAAAAAAATGTTTATATAGTTTTATTGAAAGTTTCAGAAATTTATATCAGTTTAAAGACGTCCCAATTCATAAACATAATTACTGTCCTCCATTCACGCAGCTGTGCAGCTCTGAACTGTTCAAGAACGCGATACTCTCACTCCATTCAATTGAGTCATAAAGTTCAGAACTGTTCCGCGCCATATGGAGGCACCCAAATACGTTTAAAATAAAGTATACGGAGGGTATCGCTTAAATTCCTGTCCCGATATTGAAGGACGGCTATAGAATTTCAATGCATTTCCTACATGTCTGTCCTTGTATTGTAGGAGGTTTGACTAAACAAGGATGAACCTATGTCTTGAAACCATTCGACTCGATTTTCTGTCCTCCTTCAATACTGGGACGTAAATCCTCTCGTTGCTCTTATGGGGAGGCCGTCGTATATTTTATTTAAACGTATTTGGAGGCACCAGACTATCGCGCACAGCTACTTTCAGAACCGTTCTGAGTAGCCCAGTGCGTAAAGCTCTCGAAACTGAAATTCGCAAATGTGATTAAGTTTTGATTATTGAATACCGTAAAATTTACACTTCGGCATCATCTCGGACCACCAAGAGGCGCGTGTGCCGCGTCGCGTCATGCCGGTCGCGCCATGACTCAATTTGCTAGAGGTACGTTCACACCAGCTGCGCCGCGCAAATCATTTTTTTAACATATACTTTTGTGCGCTCTAAAAAAATTAGTTTGGAGTTCGTTGAAGGACAATTAGAGCTATAATTTAAAAATATTTTTATAAGATACAGAGTGTCCCAAATATGTAAAAATATTATAGTTGTATATTTTTAAATAGATCACCCTGTATATTATTCTATTTTTAGATTCTACGATTGAAATAAAGGTAAATTTGATTAAGGTTTATTACACTTAAACCTTACCGTTTTTGAAATATTTTTAATTTTATGAAATTGCAGTAAACATTTTAAGGCTTCATTTCTTCCAAGGGTATCAAAGTTTATAATACTAAATATTTACTGAACTTTATTTATTAATCAGATATTGTGTTGCAATAATAAACAAAATACTACCTTATACAGAGTGTCTACAAATCTATATTTAATAATTACTAGTTATAAACGCCAATAACTTGTTTAATTTAAATGGAATATCCTGTATATTTTAAAAAAATTGTATTTTAGTATTTTTACCTATCTCTTCAAGATTTCGTTGAAAATGCATTTTCTTATAATTTAGACCTTACTTATCAATATACCCATGTAATACATTTTATATTATTTTTAAAGATGTAACAAATTTTCAAAGAGTTCAGACACAGGTACAGATACTAATATTGTCGATATATAGTTCGGCTTATTTCATTAGAAAATAAAAAAAAACTGTGTAAAAATTTTTTGTTAAAGAGGACCAATTAATATATGATCCCAGTATTCAAACTATATTAATTGACCGTTTACGTTGTTTAATAATAATTACTCCAAATACTAAAAAACTGAATTTTGTATGTGTATTAGACAGTGTGGTTAAAAGTAACACCTTATAAATTTTACTTCATATTTTGACGTCTGCTTATTTATAACAACTGTGTATAACAACAGATTACAGTTGAGGGTTGTAACCTTATTTGGTGTTACACAGCAAAATAAAAACACTAAATCACCACAATACCCCAAAACACTTTTACTTTTACACTGGACGCGCGTTTCGCGTCGTTAGACATACATCTAGATTTAAAGAACATTTAGCTCAGATAAGATATGGTAGACCGGATAAATCTTGCGTTGCCGAACATATTGTTGATAAAGAACATTGTATAGATCTTAATAATTTAAAATTAATTAAACAAGTTTCAAATTACAGGCAGTTAAATGCATATGAAAGCATCAGAATTAATAAATGTAAAGATAGTATGAACAGAGACAACGGTCCAATTCCTTCAAGTTCTTTGTTCCTACTACTCTAGTGGCGGAAATCTAACTGTTACGCTCAGTGAGTTCTGACTCGGTTGGCTAGATTTTGCCCCGCCCACTCGGTGCCCACTGGGCGAGTATATAAACGCTTAACTTGTAGATTGTACTTTAGTTTATAATCATCTGCTGATGATGCTAACATGGTTAGCGAAACGCGCGTCCAGTGTAAAAGTAAAAGTGTTTTGGTGTATTGTCACAAATTACCTATAACAGATGCGAAAGAAACGACTGCATCGGAAACCGTTCGGCAAACCCGACACGTCTATTGAGTGGTGTAAATACACCAGTCGTTTAGTCCGGAAACCCATGCTGTGTCGTATTCGCTTGCTGGAGTGACATAGTGCGTGGTTATATGTTTCTTTTTAAAAACGCATGTAGGATTTTTGTTGAACTTTTGAACTGTTATTTCTAAGTTTTGGTAATTTGTATATCTTATTTAAAATGATATAGAAATGTGTTTATTTATAAGGAAAAATAAGATATTTATAGTATAAAAAATTAATTTATTTAAAAAAATTAAATTAACAATGTGACAAAATAGTTACCTTTCTATTGGTTCTATCGGACTTTTTTCGACTATATAAATCTTTATTTGTAAACTTTAATACATCAAATATTTTCAATCTAATAAATCATTTAATGATGTAAATAAGAGGAAATTTCTCACATGAGTGATCAAATTCTATAGTTTTCATTATATCAAACAGCCTCTGAGAAATGTTTTCAACTCAAAATGCCTTTAATTATGTTTGACTACATCATTAAAAAGGGTCTTCAAATACATCAATGTGATATTTGTCTAAAATTTGCAAAAGAATCCGAATCTCTGGATAACTCGAAACCCATTTAAAAGCCTTTGATCATGAAAGTGGAAAAATTTGTTCATTTTATTTACAGGCTGGAAAAATTATTTATATTAAATTTTGATGAGTTTTGCACTGAAGAAAACATTCAGAGGCTGTTTGATATAATGAAAACTATAGAATTTGACCAACCATGTGAGAAATTTCCTCTTATTTACATCATTAAATTATTTATTAGATTGAAAATATTTAATGCATAAAATATTTTTGTTTACAAATAAAGATTTATATAGTCGAAAAAAGTCCGATAGAACCAATAGAAAAGTAACTATTTTGTCACATCTTTAATTAAATTTTGTAAAATAAATTAATTTTTTATACTATAAATATCTTTTTTTTCCTAATCTCCTACGAACTGATATAATATGACGAGTAATCTATTAAACTACTGTGAGATATATGCCTCGATAACATATTGGTGCAGATTATTTTCCCCCAAACAAATAATAACCCAAACTATACATTATTGATGCGGATTGTCTATGAACTCTTTCTGAAGGTCACAGAAACCTGAACGCGGAATTCGGTGTTCTTTCGCATCTGTTATAGTTAATTTGTGGTATTGTGGTGATTTAGTGTTTTTATTTTGCTATAACAACAGAGACGTTCATTTTCATAACTTATGGTATATTGACTTCTGAGTCAAATCCACATTTATTTAGAATAATTTATTAATTAAAACAATTAAGTATGTAATTAACTAGTTTTTGGGCGGAAATAATCGTTTGGTACTGGTATTCTTTTTTAAAAATATTTAAATAGTTTTCTTTTTGTAAACAAATGGGCTTGCAATATTATTTTTTCTAGCACCTGTACATTTTGTACATTTGTTGCTTTAAAAAAAATCTAAAATATCAATATTCCATGGGTATATTGATAAATTAAAAATTAATTAAGTCTAAATTATAAGAAAATGCATTTTCTACGAAAACTTGAAGAGATAGGTAAAAAATAGTATAATTTGATAGACAATTAAATTATGCATCTGATTCTCGTAAAATATACAGGGTGTTCTATTTAAATTAAACAAGTTATTGCCGTTTAAAGCTAGTTATTATTTAATCTAAATTTTTGGACACTCTGTATAAGGTATTATAATTTTATCAATGCAATACAATATCTGATCAATGAATAATCTTCAGTAATATTTAGTATTAAAAACTTTGATACACTTGGAGAAATGATGCCTTAAATTTTTTACTGCAATTTCACAGCATTGAAAATATTTCAAAAACGGTAAGGTTTAAGTGTGATAAATTCTTTCAATCGTACAATCTAAAAGTAGAATAATATACAGGGTGTTCCATTTAAAAAAATACAATTATAATATTTTTTACATATTTGGGACACTCTGTATCTTGTAAAATTATTTTTAAATTGTAGCTCTAATAGTCCTTCAACGAACACAAAACTTACAATTTGTAAAAATCTAATCATTTAACAATACTCCGTGTCGTATGTGGTGACCAGGTATACAAAGAAAGTGCGTTGGTAATTTTTCAATAAATAATTTTATTTTAAATATTTAGAATTTTGAACGATCGATTTGATAAATTTTTAAATACATTATATATACATATAACACTCTAACTTTTAACCGTACAAAACTAATATACTATATTACAAAATTGTCGTAATGATGAGCAAATAACATAGTTCATACAGCGAATCTACATCATATTATATCGAACTTACAATTTTAAAATATTTTTTTCTGTTTAAAAAGTATCTATCTTTTTAAACATTTTTAAAAATGATTTCACAAAGTAATTTCCTTAGGGTTTCTATTTTTTTTGGAGTCCATCCAAAATAATTCAAAAACAGGCTCAGAATGTATTCTGAATTATTTAAAAAAAAACTGCCGCGAACTAAAGGTTTTTTATCAAGTGGGTTTTGGAATGTGACATTTAAATAAGCGATCCAAAGCCATCTTGATGTTAAAACTGTATATGTTTTTACTGGCTACTCACAGTACTCACTAAACCACAGCTTTTGATTGATGTTGAATACATTTTTTGATTATTACGTATGAGCTAATTTACGAAAATAACACAAGTGGATGCTTTTTAATAATTATACAATTTGCTTAAAAAAGGTTTACTGAGATTTTTTTATAAGAAATAACACTTCTGGTCACTTACATATAAATTTTCTGGATAGTACAGTATTTTTTAGATTGTTTTTTTTTATTTTCTTAATCTACAACTAAAAATTATTATAGATTTCTCTATTATAACGATTTAACAAATAATAAATATAATATATAGCTGTGTATCTATTAATACTCTTCGCTGGCATGAATCTTCTAAAAGGATCAATATAATTATGTATTTATTGCGATTTCAGGTTTTGCAATTCTCTTGTATTTATTTGTATTACAGCTATAAAGTGTTTTGCGTAATTTTAAAACTAATACCCTATTTTAGGAGCTAAATTTTAAATTTCCCTAGATTTTTAAGCATCTCCTCTAATGCGACATTGTCTAGAAATCGTTTGAAACGTTTATCACTATAGTTAATATAGTTATGCCTGGAATTAAGCCTACATACAGAATTATAATTATATTTAAGATAAATAAAATTTGAGTTGTGCATGTTGATATAATTAATTTTTTTTTCTAGTAGATTTTTTCAGATTACATTAAAATCCATTTAATTTAATAGTCTATTTAAATTTGGCATCCTATTAAGTCTAATGATTTAGCGATACTTATTTTATTAAAAAATACAGAATTAACAAAATTCCAGTTTTTTTAAATATTTTTTAGGCTTCATATATGTATGTTGTATTAATAAACTATAATAAAGTTCGTTGTTCTCTTTTTAACGGGTAAAAATGTAATAGAAAAAAAATAACATCAAGATTACGAAAAAAAGTATTCCAGGTATTTCAAGTTTTTAAAATTCATAGAACATCGAATTGAACATCGTGTTGATTTAAAAATTTGAAAAACCCCTGTATAATTTTATTTAGGTATAACATGAGGGAAAATATAGTCTAGATAATAGTCTTATTATCTATAGTTAATTGACTTGTACAACATTTAAGAATTTAGGACATGTGTAATGAACAATTATATCGGTTTTATTGTTTGGAGCTATTCAGTTTCTTGTATGTTATAAAAAACGTAATTACACATAAATATATAGGCATAATATTGTTACCGACGTTAAGATTTTTTCTTAAAATATCATCTAAGATTATGTATTTAGGTATATATTCGTCTCCATGCATCACTTCTGATTGCTGTATTCCTTTTATGGGTTTCATTTTTTGATTATAGTTTCACCTTTTTTCGATTAATATTTTCAACTAACGTTTTGTGATTAAGAGAATCCACAACTTAAAATTTTTTATCTATCATCTCTAATCTGTCTAATATACCCTAAAGTCGCCCATACACTGCTATTTTAGATGGCAAAACACAAACTGCATACTTGTTGAAATTTAGGATTTTATTCTTATTCCAAAAAAAAGACTACTAAAAACAAAGTAAATGTTCTTTCGTAAATATTCGAAATAAATCGTATTTTTACGTAAGGAATCTCCCCAAAAGAGATAGCACATATTTTTTGAAAGCCCCTAACAATTCTATTAACGACGACAATGTATGGACGACTTAGAGAACAAAAACCCTTATAAAATCACATTAAACAGCCTGCCTAGTAATTCTGATATCGCGTCTTGGCCGAAAATTGGCACCAGTACCGGCGCAACTCCGCCACCAAGTATTCAAAGTCCCTCACAGCCAATCCCGTCACGGGGAACGGTACCCTCATCCTCAGTAACCATCGCTTCTTTAGTCAATCATCCGCGTCCATCCCTATTAGTTCCGCTTGCATCCGACCCTTGTACCTACAGCAAATCGTCATGCAGAAGATCCTCAACGCGAGCCTGAATTGAGGACTCATTGTGATCAGGATCAGCGCTTTCCAGAACGAGTTCAGAAACCCGAGCCACACAATCCCGAAATGGAGGAACTGCATCTGGATCTTCGTGCCAGTAAAGTACTCGTACATCTTGACACCGATATAAGGAGTCCACGAGCAGCAAAACGCTATGACAAGCGCAAAAGACATCATGTGACTGGGGTTTGACAGGTTCTCGCTCAACGCAGTGGCGTACTCTTTGTCGTGGAACGGAACTCCGCTCCTGAGTTTGCGCAGCATCATAAAGATATACGTGTAGGTGTATACAATAGTGATCAGACTGGGTCCTAGCACCAAAATGGACAGGGTGATGGAATAGGCCGCCATGCTGCCCCAGTCCAGCACGCAGATGTAGGCGTCGCGGTCGAATAATGGCTTAGTGAAGCCGAGGAGTGGAGGGCAGCACAGCATGGCCGCCGAGATCCAGGTGAAGGCCATCCAGCATTGGCCACGGGTTTTGGTTTGAACGGTTTCGTAGCGCAGGGGTTTGCGCACGGCGAGGTAACGATCTACGCTGATCCACATGAAGGTGTACACTGTCACTGCCCACAGTGTTATCTGTAAAGAAATAAAGAAAAAAAAATTACTGTTACGAAAATTCTTTAAATTGGTGAATATTTTCTACTCATGACAACCCTGCCCAAGCAGCAATTGGACGTCGGGACAACGTTGTGTCACGCGAGCAAACGTCGGGGCTATGGGTCGGGGCGCAACGTCGGCACAACCTCGTGCCAACCATAGTCTGCACTAGTTTGGAGAATAATTTTTGGGTCGAAACGACGTTGGATACCGACGTTGGCTAGAAGCCTAATTTAGTACAAACTGCAGCGTTGTTTAAAATCCTAATTCACAGAAATACAAAACTAATATGGCGTCTAAGTCGCGTTTTATACAACAACATTTTTTCAAACCTAAATTATAGTAAAAATACCGTATGATCGAAAAAAAACGGCGTCCAGTTGGCTTGGAAATGACGATCGATGACATTTCCCATATAATTTTACATATAAAATGACAGCGATCTTCATTTCATAGCCATCGTTGACGCCGTTTTTATTCGATCATACGGTATTATTTTTATGATTTAGTGAGAGACATATGTCAGATGGCAGTGAAGGAAAACAAAACAAAAGTACCGTATGATCGAGAAAAAACGGCGTCAGCGTTGGCTATGAAATGAAGATCGCTGTCATTTTATATGTAAATTTATATGGGAAATGTCATCGATCGTCATTTCCCAGCCAACTGGACGCCGTTTTTTTTCGATCATACGGTATTTAAGTGTGGAGGATGTTTGAAGATCATAATTATTGAAACCGACTTTAACCGACTCTGTTACTCGTTACCCAAGGCAAAAAAGTTAAACGCAAACAACTTTATTGATAAATGTATTGTTTCTACTTTGAAAAATACTGATGGGCCTTAAAATTAAAGAAGTTTTAAAAATTTTCTTGAATTTTTTTTTTAGTAAAGTGAGAATAATTTATTCGCAGTCGAAAAAATTGTTTCCGCGTGTTTTTTAGGGTCAAATATTTCAAGTTAATGTATTCAAAAAGCAGGAATTGCTATTTTAGGAACGAAACATTTTCTTATTTAACAACATGGCGGCTTTCACTTTGTTGTTTTGGAGATTAAGATGGAGTAGTTCGAGTAGTCGCATACTGGACTAATAAAGTCGCAGTTCGGCCTTAACAGGTAGTATACTAGTCGCAAGATTGCCTAATTTAGTCATCCTAGAGTCTAGCTTGTGCCGCCCTCTATAATCTAAATAAACGAGAGAGTGGATAAACTATCGGTAATATATGTCGATGTATATTTAAATTTAGTTTTATATGTACCTTTCTTATGTCCCATTTTAATTAAGTTTTTCTTTTATAAAAACAAAAACAGCACTGAACTGTCTGACTGAACAGAACAATGAAGTGAAAATTTAAGATTTAAGGTTATGGTTCAATACAGTTGCAAAAAGGTAGTGACTCGACGTCCTACCAACGTAAGAATAAGGAAATCTAAACAACGTTGGAATTAGTAAAACAGACGACGTTTGCATAACGTTGGAATAGGTCCTGAAACTGACGTCGGAAAACTCTATATTGTTCAACGTTGTAACTACGTTGTCCGAATCACCAAAAAAGGTTACAAGACAACGTTTATTCGACGTCGCAGAAGCTTCTACTTTGCTGTAGTACTAGTCCAACGTCGGCACAACGTTATAAAAACGTTTAAATTTATTTTAATACCTAAGGTAGGGAGCTAACTATTTTTTGTAACTAATCCAACGTTGTGTTTAGTAAACATGTGTTAAAGAAGTCGTGAAAATGCTACTTGGGTGTTTAGATATAAACTAGAGTAATAGCCAAAATATTGGTAAACCCAAGGCCTTCTGTAGAAGATTAAAATACAAAATAAAGTTCCTATGAACATACGGCTTAAGATGATTCCTGATTAAGTTACAGCCCTTACTGCCTATACTTGAAATATATTGTTACGGATTCCGTGGGTCCACTAATTTAAACTCACGATAAAATACTTAACGAATTTATTTCTTTCTCACTCTGTACACACAATTTATACTAATTATAAAACACAATTTATGCAACTACTATTACTCTAACTCTGGCACCTTCGCCAATTAATTCACAATTTCCAAACGCGGTATATTCAAACTTCAAACTGCTCCAACTACCAAGCGCAGGCCTTTATATACCCTCTGGCGAGTGTTTCTGGAACGTTCTAAAGAATTCTGTAATATTCTTTTACTTTCTGGCGAATGCGCCAGGTTTTTCAATGTACGTTGCGGTTACGTAGGCAACCAGCAATACAGTTTAGCGCCACATACACCTTGATATTGCCCCCTTCTCAAATTTGATCGTCCCGATCAAGGTTTCCTGTCCGATATCTCTTCAATCGATCCAGATGTACTACTTTCATCTTACTTTTAGGGCTGCGTTGAATCCGGTACACAACATCATTTATCCTCTTGATGACTGTATAAGGGCCTTCCCATGCTGGAGTTAACTTTGGGGACCTTCCTTTCTTGCGCTGCCGGTTATATAAACATACCATATCGTCCTGTTGAAATCCCGTAGAATTAGCTCTAAAGTCGTAACGAGCTTTCATCCCATCACTTGCTAGCGCAATCTTACTTCTAACGGCCTTATGAACGTCCAGTAATTTCGAACGACAGTCCAACGTTATCTTGTTCCATTTTTCCTCCAGATCGAGTACTTTTGGTCCTTGTCTAGCTGCGCAAATCTTACAACGTTGACACCATTTCTTAACATCTTCGCAATAATCCACCCAGTAAAAACGGTCTCTCAGCTTGCTCAAGGTCTTGTTTACTCCAAGATGGGCTCCAGTTTTACCACCGTGAATTTCTTCCAATACCTGGATAACTTATTTCTTCCTTGGTCCCAGAAACTGAGTTTTGTTACTGTCCTACCATCCGCACTTTCCCACGTGCGCTTTAATAATCCATTCTCAATAACCAGTGAATTCCACTGAGCCCAGAGAGCTTTGAAAACCAGCCCTCTGTCCGCAATATCCTGATACGGTGGTCTCTCGCCGTTACCTTCCTTGAGCCGTAGTATTGCTCCGATGTCTGGATCTTCCATTTGATCTTTCCTCAATTGTATCGTCGTCCATTGTTCGTCAGTTCTCAGTTTAAAATTCCTTACTCTGATAGTGCTTTCGCGATGATTCATTTTCTTGTCCAGGGTAGCCCGTCGTCGATCTGGCTCGTTGTCGATAATTTGTACCCGTCCTACACGGCACTCAGGGGTTTTCTCCATTTTCCCGAACACAGTCTTCTTGGTATCACCAGGTATCATCACAATTTCCGCTGATCTTGCTTCCATATTTCCTGGTCTCTTCTCTTTAGATACAGCAAATTCTTCATTTCCGATTTTCAGGATGTTTCTATGGTGATCGAACGAAAAACCATGTTGACTGATCACATCCATACCCATGATAAAATCATCTTCAATGTCTGCCACTAAAACGCTATGGTTAAACTTCAAATTCCCTACTCCAGTTCCATGAAAGCCCCTCCCCGTACAACGGCCATTTTCCCCCGTAATAATAATAAATATATAAACACACAATATAAAAAATACAACATAATATAAAAAATGGTTTACCAATGTTATTAAAAATAAACAAAATATATTATTTTTATCTATCCTTTCGAGGAATGTAACTTCCTCGGACAGCATCTTATTAGTGCATAACATATTGTCAAGGTGTATTACTGGTTGCATAACTGCATTATTGCTACATGGCCGCAGCGTCTATTGAGGAACCTGGCGAATTCGCCAGAAAGTAAAAGAAAGTTACAGAATTCTTTAGAAAATTCCAGAAACCATCGCCAGGGGGTATATAAGCATATACGTATTATTTACAAATATACTCAGGATTCCCTATTTAACCCCGTGTGCAATTTCTGTGCCGTAAGAAAAAGACAACGTAACCCAGCTCCATATTAAAACTACATAAGTCTATTTCACCCGGATATGGATTTGAACTGCGATTGCGCGAAACTCCGATTGTTGTTCTTTTTGTTCTGTTCGGATTACTTTTTATTTGTGCGCGTAAAAGAGTGGTTTTGTTTAGTTTATTGTTTCCAACTATTTTTTGATATTTTTCCAACTCCATGATAATGTGTTATAAATAATAAAAATATAAATAAAATTGAAGGTTAGATGAAATGTCAGTCAACCACTTCCCTTTAACAACATCGACCAATGAAAACTTCTTCAGGTGAGGCATGCGCAGTTAAATGAATATTCGGGTGAAATAGACTTATGCAGAATTCCATATTGTTCTTTCACTGTTTGGGCTTCACTTTTTGGAGATTAGGCTGAGTATATTTGTAAATAATACGTATATGTATATAAGGCCCGCGCTTTGACAGTTGGACCAGTCTGAAGATAGTTTTGGAAGTTTGAATATACCGCGCTTTAAATAGTGAAATACCGTTAGAGTAATAGTAGTTGCATAAATTGTGTTGTAAATAGCAGGTAAATAGTATAAGTTGTGTGTACAGAGTGAGACAAATAAATTCGTTAAGTATTTTATCGTGAGTTTAAATAGTGGACCCACGGAATCCGTAACAATTGGTGTCGGAAGTGCGATTCAAGAGGATTTTAAGAAGAAATTAAGTGGATTGGAAGATTTTTAGACCGAATCAGAGTATTTTTATGGTTGGTACAAGGGAGCAATCAAAGAAAATGGAAGAAGTAAGCAAATTATTGGGCGATTTTATGGAGAATATGAGAAGAGAGAAGGCAGAAGAACAAGAAAGACTACGTAAAGAACGAGAAGAAGAGCGAGCCCGACTAGAAAAAGAGAAAGCAGAAGAACAGGACCGCTTACTGAAAATTCTAGAAAATCAAGACAAAATTTTCGAAGATTTGAAAATCCAACAACAAGAGAAACAAGAAGAACAGGACCGGCTTGAGAAAATATTGGGTAATTTGGAAATTCGTTTGGAGGAGCGACGTCAGAGAGAAAAGCAAGAAGAACAGGACCGGCTTCAGAAAATCTTAGAAAATCAGGAA